AGCCGGGGCCATTGGCCGCCCTAGCAGCCCTCCCCAGGGTGACACTCCCACTCGGACCTCACCCCTGCCGTGGCACGGTGCGCCTTGGTGGGCCCGGAGGCCGTCAGGACAGCCTGACAACCCGTTGTCCATCAGGTTGCCTCTCCGTGCTGCCATATGTTCCCAGCTAGGGGAACGTGTGAAATCAGGAATATCGGATTTCCTTCAGTTTGTGGTCAAGCCTTCTTGTCTTCCCATTCTCAAGCACTATTGTCTTTACAAATAAGCTCTGTCTCCCCAGGTTCCTTGATATTGTGAATGCAGGAAAGCCCAATTTTATGGTTTACAAATACAATTTATGGCAAAGCTGTCGAGTCCTATTGCCTCTGGTTTGATTGCCTTTTGCAGCTCAGTACAGCATTGCTCTTTTTCCTAACTACACTTTTTGCTAGATCAATTTAAGGCTCAGCATTAGGTAAGATTAAAAAACACCCTAGATCCTCAGGTCAATGAGAGCAGCATGCTAAAGAAAGCAGTGGAGAAGCAGCAGGACTCCTCGATTGTCTATCCAATCTACAATAATAATGGAAACTCCAAAGGCTCACCTCTCTCTTTTCCTCACCATACTTCCTAGGGTATGGTGATAAACTCAGTGCCATTGATGCATTAGGCAGAAGACACCCACATCCTATGAAGCTGTATTGCTCTGTAGGGCTGACAGGAGTCAGCAGATGGGTTTATGAGGGTATTGAAATAGCCCTAGAGATCTCTCAGAAGAGCAGGTTTTGCCACAAGCTTGATGAATGCTATCTTCAGTCACTCTATGGGTCTTGAGTGGACTTGAGTTCATGTTTCCAATGTGATTTAACTTCCCCTTTTGGGGAAAATCTGCCTACATTGAAGACTTTTGCCCTAGCATTTCAGCAAACATGCACATCTCTGTCTCCAAAAATATTTCAATCCCAAATACTTACTACCCCTCAACAAGCTGTGGAGGCAGTCTCTTGTCACGTGCCTGGAACAGTGAGGCAAACAGAGCCTGTGTGCTTGGGAACAAAGGTGAGTATTTTCTGAGTCATGAACTTGCTGCTCCACATAGTGCCTGCACAGTGGTGCAGGAGAACAGCTCATTCGAGGAGCACAATTAAAAACTTCAGGTTATTTCTGACATCTTCAGTTGCACATCTGCTCCTCAGACAAAGGTGGTAGGTGCCTTCATGCTGGTCATTTTGGGAAATAATACTGCTCCTCCCACACTTCATGGAATAGAAAATCCACTTCTCTGTCCCCTGTGCCTAAACTCATCCCAATGACAAAGAAATAAGCAGAGACCCCAGATATGGGGAGGAACTACATCTGGCTGGAGGCTCTGGCTTTTCTCTAGCCCACTCTTCAAGCAGCAGTCTTCTAGGCTTCTTCAAGGAGAGCCTATTTCATCTCCCACCCCAATTAGGAGTATTTTTCAACTGTACCATGTTACTAGTCCAGTCAATCTAACTCATACTGTTGCTGAGGGAAGTATCTGCCAGTACAGGGACAGAAAACAGTGGCCAGGGCTGTAGTTATTGAAGACAAATACAACAAGCCTGATGACAGCCTGATGTTACTGTACTTTTCTCTTGCTCACCACTCTGCAGGCTGATAGGTATGCCAGCAAAGCTTTGTGCTCTTCATCCACTGAGAGGGGCATTTGCCCTGTAAACTGTCAGGCTTTATGCAGATTAAATGATGTGGTCTTCACAGAAAGACACCAAAAGCATAAGCCCAGTGTAAAGCCCTAGAAAGCACCAAGCTCCAATGCCCTGGTGCAACTACTGAGTGACATTAAACAAATAATGCTGCAGCCTTTGAAATGACATGTTGTTATAGCAAGGAAAGAGCAGCCTGGGTCATGTTTCAGATCTCCTGCAGGTTTCAGCACAGGTTTGAGATCTTTCCTTTTGTCCTGAACTCCTGCTGCCTTGAGCCTCTGATTTGGCTGCCACTACAAGGTTGCAGAGCAGGAGGGACCATGATATCATCCTGGGCATGAAGGAAGGGATCTAGCAGAAAGTGAGGCTTCGAGGAGTCCTGCTGCTTCTCCACTTTCTTTAGCATGCTGCTCCCATTGACCTGAGGATCCAGGGTGTTTTTTAGTCCTACCTAATGCTGAATTTCATAAAGCTCATAGAATATTTCAGGGACTTGAACCAGCAAGAGAGTGTATAAGGAATATGTCCAGGAGGAGATGTATGATGATAAGTGCAATTGCCTTCTCTAATGAGTGAATCAAGAAGCAGATCCCAATGCTCACTGTATAAAAGCAGCTCTGAGATCAATGCAAAATATAGCAATATTAGACATGGTGCTTGAGTGATACTTTCTGGGCTCTTCTTTTCCAGAAGCTCCAGTAAACCACTCTAAAACACACACCCTGTACAGATCTGTACACATGTACTCAATCTGGTGCATCTACAAATTTAGCACTCTAGGCACAAAAAAACTCATTATGCTTTTTTCCACCCTGTTGCTCATCATGTTAAAGCTAGTGCTGACTAGCCTCCCTTACTTGGTTAAAGTGTTGCTTGCCTTGGGGAAGTTGACTTTTGCAAGACTTGCAAGATTATGTAGAAGTCTGACTGTGTCAAGTTTTGTTAATCATTTACTTCATTATCTGAATTCATAGTAGCACTAAATCCTTAATTGGTAAAAGATAAGGAAGGGTTCAAGCAAATCTAAGAATAAAGGAAATCATTATTTAACTAATGACACTACACTGAGATATCACAGGCTTCATTCTGACAGAAATAATGAGTAATTAAAATATAGGACCAACACAATTAAGTATTATCTGGTGAAGCAAGTAATCAGCCAAGAATGTCATAGGTAAAGCACCTAGTACATCTAAACCAGCATGACAGTTCTTCAGGAGTTAAAAAGATGACATCATAAATGTGCTGAGATTTTTATAGCTCCTACTGCTGCTGTTAGTAATGTGTTCAGGAGCCTGCTAAGGAGAAAGAAAGCTCCCATGTCCTCTCTAGCCAAGCAGGTCTGGGAGAGACACCAGCTCTGACTGCCCCTATAGTATTCTCAAGCCTTTAGGACAGGGCCTAGGACTTCAGACCAAGAAGTGCACCAAGCACAGAGGCCATAACACACAATCCCCAGTACAATTTTCTCCCACACTCAACCCAAACTCCTGTGCAGGACTCCTTCAAGTACAATTTGTCTTGCTATTAGTGAGTCAGGAATGGGCACTCCATCCTTCTGCTTCCCTTTTGAGGGCCTCAGTGCCTGCAGGAGGCTAACGGGATTAGTGTGTTTTATCAGTCCCAACTCAGCTCTGCAGAGGTCAGTTCTCTTGCTAGACATGAATGTTGACATACACATTGTTACGTAGGCATTTCACCTCCTTCCTCAGGAGCAAAGTCCAGGCTGCCCTATGAGACATTCCTAAAAACTGTTTAACTTTTATCCACTCCCAAGGCCTGAGCTGCTGCCATTAGGATTTGTTGTGGCAGCCCTGAACACATTCAGACTTTTTTTTTGCAGTAGGTGCTGTACACCCAGAGTTGCAGAGTATTCTTCCCCCAAGGGACTGTACACAATTGTAAGAGTGTGAGATATCATTATAGCAAACAGCTTGCATTCTGGAGGAGAGATAAAAAATAGCTCTGTCTTATCCATGACTTGTCCCTTCTTTTGTGCCTTCCTAGAGGCTCACTAGTGCTCTGTGACCTTAACAGAGAACTACTGTGCCATGACACAAGGTAGAGCATCACAGTAGGTGAAAGAAAAAGTGTAAAGGCTCAGAAATCTCAGTTGTCCCCTACTCTGATGCAGACTGCAGGAAAATCACATTTGTAAACAAGTAAACTGAGGAAGAAAAACAGGCAATCACCAGGTAGCAAGTGTTATCAAAGATAACCCAAACCAGAAAGCCAGACTAAATGTTTGGATTTTTGTCTTGAAGATGAAGGCAGTAACAAAGAGGAGAACAAAGAGAAGGAAGCACTTGGTTGCACAACTCACCCAGTAATGCCACAGGAAAAAGCAGAACACTCTAGGATACTTATGCCAGAGTTCTTTGTACTCACCTTCCATCTGGCCTCTCTGGTTATGTTTCACTATGTTCCAACTCATCTCTATATTTGGCTTTTTCAGTAAAGCCACTGCCTGGAGTCTGTCTTGGCCAGGGCAGCTCAGGTTTTCTGACTGTGTTGCTCTGCTCCTCTCCAGACTAAATTTTTCTCTCCTACATTGGAAATGGCTGTGTAAGTGGAGATGACAAGTGCACACAAAAGGGGCAGGGGTAGCCCAGGGTCACCCGGGAGCCACTGAAGGCTGGTGA